GGGGAGGGTGCTGATGTTGTGACACTGAATCTCTGATCTTAATGTCTTAGCGTTGCTGCATTCACAACTCAAGAGAAGCTGTAAAAAGAGATGCTGGGATGACTTGACCAGAGTGTCCCACGTAATGGATCGTGGATTTGATGGGATTTTTCTCTCCTTCCTTGATTTGCTCTTGGCTCAGTTTTAGATTATCTCTCTTTGTTTACTCTCTGATCATAATCTCCCTTTAAGCTCTCTTTGATATTTTTGCCTCTTTCTCTCCCCCACAACTTACCTCCCCCCTTTTCCTCTCAGCTCGAGCCGGGCTGTGCGGGGCTTTTGTCGTTGCTGAGGAAATACCAGCGTGGGGTCAGAGAGCCCGTGGACTGCCCTCTGCACTTTCAGTGTCGCACTTGTGAAAGCCTCATCGGAATAATACTCTCCGGCCCATTCGGACGACAGAGACAAGTGGAGATGCGACAGCCAAAAACAGCCGTGTGGCAATGAGGGCAAATCAAAAAATATCCTGTTTTCAAAAGAAGCCCCCTTGGAAACATAGGACTGCCTGGAGCAGAAGCTCTTTGTTGTTCAACAACTCGGTTGCCTTTTTCCCAAATTTTCCATTTGCATCAATGTATTTTTTTTGTCTTTGTCCCCCCCCCCCCCCCCCCCCCCCCACCCACCTCTGAGCAAAAAGAAACGGACAAAAAATATTCTCAAAGCATTAATATGCAACAGTTTTTAGGCATATCTCCCAAATTTGTCATGCAATGGATTTTGCTGTCAATTCACTCCTTGTCCGGCTGCAGCTTCTTTGAAAACAGTCATAATTTGATATATATGTATAGGAATTTTATATATATATCATATGTATGTGTTTTCACTGGTGCTCTGCTTGTGGGATGCTCCAAACAGAAGTGGGACGAGAAAGGAGAAGCAATAAAATGCTTCTTTGTTTTTATTCCATCCTCTCCCTTTGTTGTTGCTTCTTCATCAGTGTGTATTCCTTATGTCCTCGCTGCCTCAGTGCGTCTTTATCCCGTCCGCTGGTGATGCTCGCGCTGCTGCTACTACTGCTCTCTGCCAGGACTGGATGACAATGTGCACTACACTCTCTCTTTCTCTCTCTCACTCCTCCCTCTCCAACTCACTCCTCCCCTCCCTCCCTCTCTCTCTCTCTCTCTCTCACACACACACACACACACACACACACACATATGTCTTTTGTGCGTAAATGAGCGCAGCTCTAGCCTGCTGACTCTCCCTTTCACTCTCCCCCTCTGTCTCTCATTATGTGTCACTGACACTTTTCTCCCAGTTTTGTCCCATGTTCTTCTTTTCTGCTTCCGACTATCAAACACACATGTTCCCTTCATGTAGTCTCCCCATTCCTGTCATCTGTTCTTTTTTTTCATCCATTCATCTCAGTTTACCTGCTGTCTGTCTAACCTTGTTTAGTGTGCTTGTGCATGTGTGATGCATGGTATTGTGTGTATCTCCGTGTGCGTGTTGCGTTCGTGCCTGTGCGTAATTAGTGCTCTTACTACCTTGCATGCATGACACATGTGTGATGCTGCAGTCTATAAGGGCTGATTTAGGGAAGGAGAGAGAGAGAGAAAGAGAGAGGGGTGGATGGAGGGGCAGAAAGAGGGAAGGAGGAAGCGAGAGTGATATAAACAGAAAGGAAGGGGGAGGCAGGAAGAGAGGGAGGGCAGGAGAGAAGAGGAGAGCGGAGCAGCTGCCAAAGAGAGGGCTTGACAGAGAGGAGCTGGGGAAGGAAAGAGGAGAGGAATTATCGCGGGGAAGGGAGGGGGATTAAGAAACACGAGGAAAGCAACTGGAATAGGAAGTGACAGAGGAATAGCGGGAGGAAGCGAGGGGATAGGATGGGGGTGCAGACAGGTAGGAGGCGAAAAAAGCAACGTTATCGCCATGCAGGGAAAATGACATGTTAGACCTGAATAGAAGGAGAGAGGGAATAGTCGTCAGTCAAGGCCCCAGAAAATTCCCAGGAGATCGACCGAAGAGAGAGACTGGGAAGCAAAATGTTGTGAATTTTGAATAATCCCACATGATAATGTTGAATGTGAACTAAATTTTGAAGATGCAGAAGAAGCAGTGCCTCTGGGTCTGACCATGAACCGGGCAAACCTCATCAGAAAATACTGAGAGAATAAAAAAAGCAGCAACGGAAACGCTGCTTAATATTTTATTCTGTTTTTAAGTGGCGAACATTATATTCATCTTAAATATTCATTTTTCAAACTTTTTTTTTTCCATAAAAGCTTGAAGGCTTCTTCTTTCATTTCGCTGTCACACTCTTCTTTTTATCTTTCTATATTTTTTTCACACACTTTCCGCAGACTCATGCATTTCAGCCACACTGTCTCTTTTTTTTTTGTTGTTGTTGTTGTTTTTGCTGCAAGTACCCCCAGCTCATCTTCCCTTGCTGTTTGTACTCTGTCCAACCCTCTCGGCCTAAATTCGCTTAAAATCGTTGGCAGAGTGCATCGGAAGTTGTGTCAAGAAATACACGTACACACACTTAGGAAATGCACACAAACATCGCATGCCGGCACACTGCCGCGACTTCACACTCTGTGATGAGCCACAAATCAGCTAATCCTCCTCCTTCCTGCAGTCTGACATTAAAGTGTCCTCAGCACATTTCCCCTAATGGAAAGCAGGTCATTAATTAAGAGATAGAAATAAAAGTTGTGGTGAATAAAGACTGCGTTTACCGCCATCAGAAAGGCAGGACGCTGCCTCTCAATGCTGCGGGAGGCAGCGAGACGGGGGAGCGAAGGGTGTTGGCTGAAAATCAAGATGGAAAGTAAAGAGGGATGAGATGGATGGAGAGGAGGAGTCCTAGGGGAGAGATGGAGGGCAGAGTGCGCAGATTGAATGGGTGATCTGTCTTAAATCATCTCTCTCTCTCTCTCCCTCTCTCTCTCTCTGCTTGGCTGTGGTTTAATAGCACATTTTCCACTCTCTGTTGCTGTCGTGGTCTTTCTCTGGCACAACTCATGCAATAGTACATGGATACTTAAGTATGAGGGTTGTACCCTAAAAGGTACTATATCTGCATCTTCTGCTTATGTCACAAAAAAATCACCCATAGTCAACCCTACAATATCGATATATAGGTATTTTGTCAAAGATATTGTGATATTTGGTTTTCTCCACATCGCCCAGGAAAAATATTACTATTTTACACATTGTATTCTTTTAAAATGCACACAAACATGGACTGTAAAGCACATAACTGTAATTACACAACAACTAAACAATGCTTGTCAGTAAAGGTTCGACAAAACATCATTCTTTGTGTTGAAATAAAGTTAAAACGTAATACAACCTCTGGTTGTACTGTTACTTGCTTTGACCGAATACAAAAACGTACACATAATTAAAAATGTCCGCATTCAATGAATCTGTGGTCTGCAGAAATGTACAGTGCCAACATTTTTTATCTTGCAGACTGGGCTGCCCAGACGACGTGCTGCAACGTTTATGTGACAATCTGGTGACAGGTTCGTTGGGGGAGGGAGAGTCAGCAGATATTACTGCAAAGATTCTGATGCTGTTCATATCCGGAAGATGTTTTTTGACACCTTCTAGTGTATTCCATCTAAAATAAGTTGACTGTATTCAGTAAATTTTCCCATTCTGCTCTAAACCTTTTCTTTCCACTTCTCTTCTTGCATTCGTCACCTCTCCCCTTTCCTTGGTACTTGTCTCCTTTCTTTTTGTTCCACGTCCTTCTTTTCTCCTCTACTTTCTTCTCATCTTTCTCCCCTCTTCTTCACCTCCTCTCCTCTCCTCATTCATTACATCTTAAAGAAACTTAAGGAGGATGAGCATGTTATATTTCCTCAAAGCCGACCTCAATCTACCTCTTCATCTCAGTCACCTGCTGCCTCCGCTGCTACTTCAAACCACATCCCCTCTTTACCTTCATATTGTCCTTCCCTCAGTCTGTCCCAATCTCTCACGTTATCTTCCCGCGCTCTCATCAAACTGTCTCCCATTGTCTCTCAAATTACAATGTAGGTGTGGTGCCACGCCACGCCTGTCACTCCCACTCTTTTTGTCTCGCTCTGTGTCCCTTCCTTCCGCACGCCATGGCTGCTCATCACTTCTGACTGTCACTCAGTATAGATTAGTTCAGGGTGGAGATCAGCACGAAGAAAACGAATTGAGTCACGTGAGTGTAACTCAGACAAGGCCATGAGAGAATACAGAGTGAGTAAAAGAGGAAGGATGAAGGAATCCAAAATAATGGAAAGGCCTTGAAAACAAAATAGAGTCATTTAGGAGAAAGTGAAAGTCTAAAAGCAATGAAGTCGATACAAACCAAAAACAAAAGAGAAAAGACAGAAAATAAAGTGATTAAGTTATAGTTTGATGATATCTGTAGAGTTGATGGATGTTTGTAGTTGTAGGAGTGTTTCTTTGTTTTTGATTGACTGCACTGGGCTGAAAAGTGAAGTCAATGTTCGAGTTGCATTCTTTCTAATAGCCAGCAGGGTTGCAAAAAGATGTCCAATTGTAGTCAATGACGAAATTACCCTATTTCTATTTAACATTTTGGTTGCTTAAAAATGTCTTATTCAGCGATCGATTTTTCGTAGCTCCACCCTCTCGTGTCAGTTCTGGTTGCAAAAAGCCAAAATGGCAAAAAAACAGGATGGCAATGGTCAAAAACCAATCAGGCAACAGCCAAAAGGTCAAGATGGCAATAGCCAAAATCGAAAATTGCAACGGCATTCCACAACCCAATAGGTGCCGTCGCGGTCACTACGTCCCCTTCTTATGTACAGTAGAGTCTATTTTCAGCTCCGTCCCAAGCCAATGCCCTCCCACAACCTTGTCCTTGACTGCAAGGGTCAGACATCATATAC